GATGATCGCACATGACGAAAGTACCGTAAATACCGAGTAAAACGGATATTGTCTTAACATGATTAAGATCAAGTGTAGTTGGTAGGAGTGTAGTTGGTAGGGGGGGGTGCCTACGGCTACTACGACTACGACTACTACTAATTGTGTTTGGTAGTGACTTGTCATGCATGCATATGTAAGCATTGCTTCGCGGAGTCTGAACGGACTCATTCGCACTATCCAATGCCACCATCGACGTGGCTCAAGCAATGGTGCACAAATCGAGAAGTGTACCGAGTTCTGGCAAGGGCCTCAGCTTGAAAGCTGGGTTTGGGGTTGTGGTGGTGGTGTTCAGGGCACCCGGTACCCTAGTCCCGAACCTTTCAGGGTCCTTCGGAGCTTGATTTGCAGATGGTGATCGGAAGTAGCGGTGATGCCTAGTGATTATGATGATGTACCCTATCAGATAAGACAGGCGTTGCAGCAACAGCAGCAACAACAGCAGCAGTCACCGGCATTTAGCAGAAATTTAGCATCGTTACCGATAGCAGTCCGCAAACACAGGCTATGAGCCCAATACGCTGAAGCGCATGCAGAATCAGCCATTGAGCAAGGCTTTCATCTGCGGTTCGCAACGGCAATGTCTCTTCCATCAGGGCTACAGCTACAGCAGATGTTGCAAGTGCAAGCGCCAGAAGAGTTTCTGCATATGTTGAGGTCAGACAGAACGAATACCCTTTCTGCCTTATCGTCTTTAGAGGATGTGCAGAGGAGGCTCGATGATCTGAACGGTGACATGCAGTTTCGGACAGAACGCTTGGCAGCATGGGTTTCTGCCATCATGGGGGAGGCAGATGCCACTCGACAGCATTTGGGAGCAGTAGGCCAGTCCATGCAAGACAGCGAGACTCTGTGGAAGCGGGCCGATGGCCAGTTCAAGGAGCTCATGACTCGTGTGGGTCAGTTGGAAGCGGCAATTAAGCATGAAAGCAGAGCGCAAGCCACGTTTGAAGCTGACATGGACTGGATCCAAATCCTTTTGTCGTGAGATATTGCCGAGCGACTTGCTAGGGGCTCCCCTAGCGAACCTGCAGGAGCTTACCTTCTTAGGTCTCTGGGGCGAGATTGGAGAGGATCAGTTGCTGCAGAAAACCATCGTTGGCTTCATCGCTGTTGTGGGTGATGGCGGGAAGCTGCTGCAAGCCAGTGACAATAGGGTCAAGCAGATAAATGCTTGGAGAATGGGGCTCCCATCGAGTCCTCGTGGCCTCGATCTGTGGGTCATGGCGTCGAGACGGGCATGGCAGAGCAAGTGGACCTTCGGTCTGCTTCAGTATGCTGTGCACCCCAAGGCACCTGAAATTATGGAGGCTGTGTGCTGCACCGATGCTGGTGGGGCGGCGCAGAACAACAACAAATCCAACAAGGCTTCTGGCCAATTAGCCGAGAGTGCTTTGGGAATTGGAGAAGATGGCTGCTGCGAGCAGCCAGCGCGCTATGGTTGTGATCGCCTCTGCGACCTGAGTGTGGTGAATCAGGATGCGGCAGGCTGTGTGCAACTAGGCTCTGAAGGCTGTGCGTGCGTTTCGACGAGTGCTGCTGGCGAGAGCTGCGATGGGTCTTTGGACAGTGAATCAATTGACAGCGGGGCTGCTGATGATGGCGGCCAGTTCTTCTTTGATGAGGAGCAGAACGAGTGTCGCTGCCTAGTCTGGTGCGCTGATGATTGTTGCGATTTCAGCGATGATGCTACCCAATGCTGTGCTGGCTGGGCCTCCGGAAGCGCTTGCGAGAGTGGTGCTGCGGACTGTGCCATTGTTCCTGGTAGGCGCTGGGCAGCTGCGCAACCTTGTCCCCCAAAAGGTCCAGGAACATCCATTGATGATGCGCGGCTGCTTGGTTTGCTAGGCGGTGATATTGTGAGCGAGCTCTGTTTCTGTAGCAAGCGACCGGACCCAAGGACCAAGATACAAGACCCGCGAAGGGCAAAGAATGGTAGTGATCTTACTAATTCAAGTAGAGAAGTGACCCGTGACAGGGCAGTGAAAGTGCAGTGTGTTTCACATGAGCAGGGTGGCTTCATTGCGGGTGATGTGAGCAGACGGAGGGCGCCCTGCCTGACCGAGTGCGATAAGTGCAGCCAGCTAGCTGGCAACCGATGCAAATCTGTCCAGGGCTGTTGGGCGAGGAGCTTGCCTTTTGGGCGGAGGATGACTGCCGACTCTCCCTTTCCCCGTTTGGTTCTAGGTCCTCTCCTCTTGGGTTTCCTTGTTGGGGGTTTCCTGTGAGTAGTGCGTGCTTTTGCTTGACTCAGGATCGCACTGCCAGTGCTCAGGTCAGGTTGCGTGACATGGTTATTGCAAGTGTGAGCGAGGGCGCGACCTTGTGCCCTGGCGTTGGAGCCAATCACAACCCCTATGTTGGTGTCAGAGTCGGGGAGGCAAGCCACCCAGGACCAAAGCCAGCGGCCTCAGCGTTGCAGGGACTCCTTCAAGGTTGCGGGTTTGATCTAAATGCCATGCTGAAAGACTTGATTCAACAACTTGTTGCTGAAGTTATGAGCTCCATGCCTGGGGCATCTGGAGTGCAGGCTCTGGGACTCAGTGCCAAAGCCAAGAAGCGTAAGAAGCAAAAGCTCAAGCAGGCTGCCCTGAAAAAAGGTGGTGCAGGAGGCACGCAGAGACCGGCCGGGCTTTAGTTCCGGCTGCTCAGAGCTACGGTGATAGTGATAGTGGTTCCAATGGCAAGGGCGTAGGCAAAGGGCAAGGGAAGGGCAAAGGCAAAAGCAAGGCTCCGATTGCCAGTCCTGTTCCTGCTCCCAAGACTACGAGTGAGGGTGAGTGGCAGGTTGTGCAGCGTAGGCCGTCCAAGGATGAGGAATTTTCCCTCCGACCGCAAGACTGGAGCAGCCCTTTGATCAAGTTTGAAGATTTTGCATCAAAGTTTGAGGCTGCAGATCCCAAGAAGCCGTTTGAGCCGGTGATCCATTGCAAGGCTGCTGAGATCCCCATTGCCAAGCGAATCCTCACCTCGTCATGTCGTGACTTCTCAACCCTTCTTGTTGGCGGTTGACCTTTCTAAGAAGCAATTGCAAGACCATGACTTGACGAAAGAAGCAGGTGTGAAGCAGTCCATCCCAGGCAAGGTCGGAGCCATCATCCGCTTCAGGGAAGGTTTGGCTGTTCAGTGTGTGTCTGCTGGGCAAGGGCCTCCCCAGCCCAGGGGCATCGGGGCTGAACACAAAGTTGAAGCTAAAGAAACTGCGGTTTTGTTTGCTAAACTTCCACAGGCTTTCGTCTCTCCTGAGCGCTGGAAGGCATTCCGAAAGCACCCGAAACATGCTTTAGCGAGCTGGGCAACTGAGCAGCACGTCCAGTTAACCGACTCGTGGCGATGGTCTGAGGAGAGGGTCGGCCAGGATATGCGACAGGTGTTTGGTGTTTTGCGTGCTCCAAAAGCTGATATCCCCACATTGCTCAGTCGAGCTGGTGAAGGTGGAGTTTTTGTCTATCCTCCTGCCGGCCAGCGAGAGAATGTCGTCGTCGAATGGATCGACAGGCTCCCCAAGGAGGCTGACCGTGACTACTTTGCTAGAGCCTCGCGACTGCAGTCTGTCGGTTTGGTGCCACGGCGCGAAGCTGGGCTGGAGAAAGCCCATCCGACGCATCTGGACGCTCAGCGGGTGTCCCAGACACTGGGACATGGTCCAGGCTACTGATATAGTGAAGGCCCATTTTGATAAAGTCAAGCTCATCAGACAGTCGGTGCGTGGTGCTGAGAAAACGTTCTACTTCCGTGGTGCTGCCAAGAAAGGAGCCGACTGCGACCTGCTTCCGATCCCTACTCAGGATGGCGATTCTGGTCGCGTTATGCTCTGGGCTGCTCTTGCCCCGGCGCGCCAGGAGCAGGTAAAGCAGAAGCGCCTCCGAGGCGGCTCGATGCCCTATGTTAAGGCCGCCGAGAACCTTTTCACGCCGGTGACGCAGACCTTTGCAGTGACTGCTGATGCTACCGACCAGACTTGCCAGGCGATGGACACGTCAGGTGGCAATGCCGGCAGCCCAGATGTTGCTACTGGCCAGCAGGGCGTGGGCGAGAAGCAGGAGGAGGGAAAGAAGGAAGAAGGAGCTGCCAAACGGGCCAAAGTGACTGTGCGTGAAATCCCGGCTGGATGCTCACAGCATGCAGTGGCGAAAGACGGCAACTGCCTCTATTATAGTTTCGGCGAAGTTATGAGATGGCTTCGCAAACAGCCGAACTCATTTCATCACCTTGACCTCCGTGCGCGTGTAGCCGAGCATTTGAGTAAGCATAAGTGAAGATCAGGTCTTACCGCAGATGATGACAAAGGTCCATCCATTGCAGCCTGACTCTAAAAACAATCCTTTTCGCACGCGACCAAAAGCTTCAGTCTGAGATCGTGATGTACAAATGGTGATCTCCGTGCTATGCCAGTACGGTACACTTCTCGGTTTTGTGTACAGTGCTATGCTACTGTCACTTTACATGGCCAAGGGGGCATGTGATTCCGTAGCCTTCCCCTAGTCGAAGTAGCAACGCAGACAAGAGCTTCACTTTACATGCAAACACTTCGCTGTCACAGCCATCAGTCCTGACTTTCCGCACTCCTCCTTGACCTCGACGTTAGGCTGGGGTCACTCGGGAACTCTGCCCCGAAGTCCTGAGGGTGGTGTTGAAAACCCTCTCATATTCTTGTGCCCTCTCAAGGTCTCGGCCATAATCAGGAGTCTTGTCAGGATCATCAGCAGCCCTATGGCTGCAATACTGGCACAGCCTTCGTCTCTGAACTCGCTCCAAGGTTCCACGATGCCTAAACGCATGACAGTCACCGTAGACATGGAAACACTCATTCTCCGGCACCACAAACACTTCTTCTGGAGGTTCATGTACGTAACGTAGTATCACTCTGGTACCGGGAGCTTGCACTGGCGAAAACGCTGCCGTTTGAACAGATGCATCAACCTGCTCTTTGGTCCCCTGCGCCAGCCGTCGTAGTAGCTTCATCCTTTCTTCGGCATTCGGATCCGGAGCACTCTTCGGCTCAGCTCGTGGAGGCTGAGGTCTGTCGATAAGACCCCGCGCTTGCTGTTCAGCAGGTGTGCGGCGAGCATCCTGAGCACGCCTTTCTGGCCTTGTTTCAAGTCTTTCAGCAACCTCCCTCTGAATAGCCTCAGAAGTCGCATCTCTGAGTCGCTGCAGCCTTCTCAAGCGTCTGGCACTTGATCCAGGAGACGCCCTATCGTAGACAATCCACGCAATCCACTTTAGAGCTTCCCACGACACAACACCCAGCAGCACCAGTAGCCACAATAGCACCCAAGTAAGCAAGCCATAGTCAACTGACATGCCGCTACCATAGACAACCACTCCTTGTTCCTCAGTTATGCGCTCACCAGAAACTGCTTGCGCCAGCACCAGCAATGCGACTAAAACCTTAGGGAGTGGGCTAGGGGTGTGAATGCTGCTGCTGCTGCTGCTGCTTGCTTGATTGCTGCTGCCACCATCACCTGGAAGTTCTCGCTGACCATCACCTGCTTGTAGCTCTTGATTCTCAATTAAGCCAATGAGACCACTCAGCGCTCTCATCCTCGCTGAAGAAAGTGGTTTCGTCAGGAGATCAGCTGGTTGAACTTCCCCACTGCAATGGTTAAACTCTACAATCCCCTTGGCAATCAGCTCGCTCACCCAAGAACTCTTTAGGCGCAAATGCCTCGTCCTCCAACTGCATGATCCTCTCGCGATTGCCAAAGCCGAAGTGCTGTCGGAGTGCATCTGGAGCTGCAGAGAAACAACTCCGATATCGTGCAGCAAGGCCTGAATCCCTTGCAAAGCCACCAGCCCTTCTACTGCAGCCTCAAGCTCTGCTTCGGCTGTGCTCAGACTAATGCACGACTGTCTCGACGATCTCCAAGCAATCACGTTCCCGGCCAAAAGCACAATCCACCCAGTGTGGGATCTGCTGGCGTCCGGTGCAAACGACGCGTCCACAAACCCGGTAAGGTAGGGAACACAGCTCTCGTACAGCAACTGCCGGCCAATGGTCCGTTGAAGGTAGCCCAAAGTCTTCTCCCCGATCTCAACAGCACGTCTCGGAGCCCGTGTTGCTAGTGAGCCGATCAGCGAGCACACAAATGCGATGTCTGGTCGGGTTCGTTGGCTAATCCACAGTAGTTCGCCAGCGATCTGTTGAGCAGCTCGTACTTCGCCTTCGTTTGCAGGACCCTCGTCATCTGTCGCCACAAAACTCGCAGCTTCCTTGGCAACTGGTACCAAATCTCTCCGCCTTGATGTCATTTCATGAATGCGGAGAAGCTCCTCGATATAGGCCCGTTGCGTGAGCGCAAAACCCTGGCTTGTAAAGGAGATCTCGATCCCCCAAAAACGGATCTCTCCCTCGGTCGCCAACTGAAGAGGACTGGTTTTCCAGACGGCCTTTATTGCTGCTGCTAGCTCCTTCATCAGCTCTGTTCGCCCACACAAGAGCAGGTCGTCAACATAGACAACGAGGATCCCGATCAGAACCGAGCCATCCTGTAGCACAGACCACCACGAAGGTTCAACTCGGCCCTGCATAAGCGTCACCCGCTTGCCGTCGAACACCAACTGGATTTGGGCCAGCAAATCGTCCCTGTAGGCGCCCCATAGCTTCGGACTTTCTTGTAGGCCGTAGACTGCATGCGTTAACTTCCACAACTCGCCTGGTCGAGCTAATCCTGCTCTCACGAGGATTTTTGGAGGAACTCCATACACCAAGGGTGCGCCCTTCACTGCTCGAAGGGGAGTCTGCAAAAACGCAGCAACGATGTCAATGGCCCCGAGATTCCAATTGAAGAACCTTGCCAGAGCGATGGCAGCCCGAACCACTTCTGCTGGAGCGGTGCTAGCAAACACCTCTTATGGGCAATGCGAAGCCATATTCCCACAGATCACAATGCGCGATTTGCGCTTGAAAAGCTCAGTGGGTTGCTCCTCCTCCGCCGGAGGGTCTGGGGGCTTGATAGTATAAACCACCTTCATCGGGATCAACTGTCCCCTTCCGGAGCTTAGATCTTCCCGAACTTGAGGATCGTCTCCGGTGACTTTATCAACAGCGTGGTCTAACGTGTTCACCTCCTTGAGGAACGCTGGGATCCACTTCTCAAACACAGCCACGACATCCTTTGGATTCACAGTGTACACAACGGACACCGGCGAGCTCAAGTTAGCGAGGATCTCCTCAATGCCATCAGTGTAGGTGACCTCTGCCTTATGCAATGATGGGCGCGCATCGTCACTAGAGGATAGGGCTGCTGTTTTGACATTCTCTCTATCGTCCTCTAGCACCAAATGCATTTCCCAGTCCTCCCACTCTTCGCCTGGAATGCTGTCAGCCTCGGCGGGCCTTGAGAGTCCTGTCAACACAGCCGAAGTTGATGCTTCCCGCGACCTCGACGAAGTAGCCCAATCGCACTTGAACAGGTACTCACCATCGGACGTGGGTATTGTCTCTTGCCATCCTCCTCCTCGGAGCGGGGCAACATCACCTTCTATTCCTTTTTCTGGCTTCACCGAAGACACCGACAATGCATTGATGTAGACCTCCGCCGGGCTTTCTTCCTCCTCCAATGGCAACGGAAAGCTTAACGCCCATAGCAGCTCTCGGTCCAGCCTCTGCACTGAAGCCAACAACGCAGGAGTGTATCCCACAATGACGATGCGCTCTCCTTTCCAGGGAAGCACTGCATGGCGTCGATGAGGGTCGAAAGAAAACACTCTTCCCTCCTGCAATGGAAATGCGCAACCATATCGTGCTCGGCCTTCTCCAGAAACTAACTCAATCACTTTTCCCGAGACAACATCCCCATCGCGCAACTCCATCCATAACTCTCCACCCCGCCTTGGCACACTAATCGGGAGCAAGTGGTTCATGGCACCGAGAGCATTGTTGCGATCCACATGAACCTCCCGCTCGTTGTTCATGGACACGAAGATCGCCGCGAACTCGGCGTCCGGTGCTCTGTCCAACATCACCCGGTTTAGTAGCCGAGCGAACCATGGTCGTTCTACTGTTGACTTGGTGACTCCAATTCGTCCACCGTGACGGAACATCCCATAAACTCGCTCATCTTCAGGGAGTAGACGTGCAACTTCACGCACTAGAACTTCAGCTGCCTCCAAGTTCCAACTGCTTGCCAATTCCTCGGCCTTTTGTCGAAACTCGCCCTCGTCAAACACCTGGGCTTTGGACACAGCAACAACATCTCCTGATCCAGAAGCTTTGCCTCGCACACGCCGCTCGGGAGGTCCAGGTAAATCTGCTTGAACTTCTTCCTCAGGTGGTCCTGGATCGTGTAATCCAGCCCGAACGTGTAAAGTGTGAACAAAGCGTTCTCCTTCTCCATCGCTAACATACACCAAGTGGCCCTTGCTGAGGCTGTCGGACAAGCCCACATAGACACCAGACAGCCACCTTGGCGCAAGGTCATCAAGCTTTGGTCCATCCAAATGACGTTTGCGAACCAACACTTTAGAGCCATACGGGGCAGCGAGCTTTGGTTCAAAGCCGAGAACATCTCCTCGCTGCATAGAGGCTGCCACACTGATGGCGGAAGGCCACAATCGCTGAGGGAGTCCTGCTGATAGTATAGTAGCGCTCTCGCCCTCTGCTTCAGCCATCGAATCGTTGACTCTGCTGTGCCATTCGTCTGGTGGACACCGGCTTCGGACGTGGTCACTCGAATCCCCTCGCCCTTTAGCCATTGACGAGTTGCCCTTGCTCTGAATTCCATACCCCGATCGGCATGGAAGCGCAGCACTGGTATATTCAGCGCCCTGCAGTAGAGGATCACATCCTGGACCGCTTCAAGAACCGTAGGGGCCTTATCATCCTTCAACCCACACGCAAAGATGAGGTTCACCAGCTCCGGGCCACCCAGGTCACTGTCCTCCTCGGGATCTCGCCTAGGCACCTCTTTAAGTTCTGGCTCTGTATCCTCACCTTCTTTTTCACGCGGATCTTCTCCAACTGGGTCCCTTTCTCCTCCACTTGCTGGCGCCAGCCCGTCGTCCTTTTCCTCGTAGTCTTCCTTGCTCATCTCGCCAGGGTCATAATCGAGCCACACGCCCCGGCCATCTTCCACGAAGGACTTAGGAACTCGTAGCTTCGCGGCAAAGATGTACTTGAACTGCCGCGGGAAAGCTCCTCTGCCATCAGGGTCCACACCGCCGACCTTGACTGCGCCTGACAGATCGGCTGAAAGCACAAACGCCGACGGGTGTTCGACCCTGGAGTGCCGGCGCCCTGTGCCCCCGGCTTGGACGCAGACTGTGCAGTCGGCGCGAAACGGAAGATGCCCTCGTCGTACATGGTCTCGCCACTGCTCTGCGCTCATTTTCAACATTCCCGGAATCTTTCCCCAGTCCCGGAGCACAATAACAAGGTGCTCATAGAACTCCTGCGGCCAAACGCACCCTGGAGCTCGTACTGGAGGAGGTCCATCGGAATGCCACCGTAGGCGAAGCCCATCTAGGTGTCGAAGTGGTAGATTGGTCCCCACTGTGGTATGCCTAGTGAGCGCCTTCCCCAAAGCCGCCATGTCGAAGCTGTAGGCCTGCAGCCCGGCTTCCATTGCATACTCTGACCACAACGAAGTCCTCCACAAGCTCACAACATCCGGGTACAACGGATCCTGAAACTTCAAATATCCACGCGGATCCCGAGGGTGCTCAAGAAGAAAGGCAACCTCCTTGCTCACAGTGGGGTCGTGCGGAGCTCGTAGCCTTCCTGCCGTCGCAAGGGCATGAAGGTAGACCATTCTCGTGATGAGCTGAGTCTCCCGGTTCACCTTGAAGAGGTCACTGTCGGATTGTCCTGGCCAATTTCCAAACAGAAACTCATTGGAGCGGACCGGTTCCGGGCCACCCACGACGTGATGCGAAATCATGAAGGTACTCTGAGGCGGTCCTCCAACAATCGCCCCAATCTTTCCCATCCTGGCTCCCCACTCCAACGCTCTCCAGGTACTTGGCCTCAAAACATCATGAGTTATGCCCCTCTCAATGTCCAGCTCCAGAATCGTGTACCCGTGGCCCTCCAAGTGCCGAAACTCTCGTCGATCAGCCTTTCCTGCGTACAGATGAACAAGCCACTTGTCCGAAGCCCATAACCGCTTTCGAGTTTTTCTGTTCAGGTGCTCCAACCCTTTCAAGGCTTGCCACCCGTTGGCCTCCGGCACTGCATCCACCAAACCGGCTTTGCATTCACGCGGAACTTCTTGAAGGAAAGGCGCACTCTCCACAGCCTTCAGCGCCTGGGACGACATCCCTCCGTCAATGTAGGAGAGCAAGTAGTCGAACCATGTCCGCTCCATCGCAAGGGCAGCTGCCTTCACCCTGGTCCGGGTATCTTTCGTGTTCTCCCGTAGCTCTTCAAGTCTCACATCCTCCAACTGGGAGATCAACTTCAGGGCCTCCTGCTCTGTAACCTCGGGACACCCGTCACGAACGCGAAGAACAATGACTTCCCCATTCTTGCCCTCCAACTTGCACTTGGTTTTTCCCCAAGTCATCGTATATCCCAACTGATTTACCAGGGCACCCAAGGGCACAATTGGCAGGGTTGAGGATGCCGCTGTCATCGAATTGATGGGCACCAGAATAGTGCCAGCCGCATTCATGCGAAGGCTAATGGATTCGCCACCCGCCAAGTTCACAGTCACCGGATCAGACTCTTCCCACTCCTCCTGAGACGAGGCCCTCCTCAAAGCACGCGTGGCTCCAGAATCAACCAAAGCAAACATAGCCAACTCATCAGAAGCCGCCTCCGTCCTTTTCAGCGCCAATACATTCATTGAAGGTGCTTTGGGATTGGGCGGCTGCGCCCCTGCCACTTTCGCCGCCCTGTAGAAGAGTCTCCAAGGTCCAAACAGGTTCTCCCGCGACCACATGGGCGGAAACACTCGGCGACTTTTCCCCTTCAGGCTCAACGCTGGTGATCTTCGGAACATTCGCTGGGGAGGTACTCGAAGGCGAGGTTGAGCCAGCAGCCGGAAACCCAGCTCCAGCGCTTGATCTCCCACCTTGCTTGGGTGTCTTGGTAGGGCAGTCCTTTTGCCGGTGCTCTTCACTCCCACATACTAGACATTTGCGCGCTCGTTCGGCCTTACTCACACTGTTGAGATCGTGTGCATATGGACATCGCTGGCCCCGTCGGCATCCTCCTTGCTTCAAGAAGTATTTACACGGGGGCTTTGATGGATTTGCCGAAGAAGCTGAAGGACTGGAAGGCGAGGTAGTCATAGCCTTGATTGCAGGTGTCTGGACGGGTAAAACAGCCCTCGCAGCAATCATCGATTCAACTTCCGCCTGCAGGTGCTGGTGGTACTTCACAACGTCCATGAGTCCCGGCTGCCCGTCTATCCTTAAGCTCGACCTCAACAACTGGGTGCGGAAGTGGGTGTCCTGGTTCTCCGCGACAAACTTTGCCGTCACAGTCGTAAGGGCCTTCGCAAGGATCGTCCCGTCTGGAACCATCATATTCAAATCCTTGCATCTCTGCACCCATCTTGGCCAAGACCGCAACCATGTCAAGGCGTCGTCCACCGTGGTGGGCTGCGTCGGGCTCTGAAGGTTTCCGAGCACCGCAGAACGCTCGTTGGCACCTCCAGGTTGGTAGCACGTGTGCAACCTGAAAAGTATGAGGGGTGCACTTTGGACCGCTCTTCTTGCAATCAGATCCAATCTAATTGCTTCCACAAGGCTCTGAAGGATCAGCGAACACGCCCGCGAGTTGATTCTTGTCCACCTAGCTGACGTCCACGCTTCGTGTCCAGTAGGCTCAAGCTGAAGTCGCTCAAGAGGTGTAGCTGCTAGCCATTTGGAATAGGCTTCACGAACAAGACCTAGAACACCAGCCCACCAAGTACCCGAAGCAGCAGAAAGGTCTTGCATCGGCACTGCTACTTGCGCCAGCCAGTCCTGGAACACGATGCCAGCGTTCGTGCCCTCCGGCCCCGGAAGCATCGGAAGGTTGGTGACATTGGACTTGACCTGCTCAGGCGAATCATCCCTCTGTAGTGACTTGGCTTGCAATTCCTGGAGGCTGGTCAAGTTCTTCGTTAGGGCTTCCAAGATTGCCATAGTCGTAGGGTCCTCTACTGCACCTTCTCTCCCGGGATCTGCACTTAGGGCTCCTACTTGAGGTGGTTGTGCATGTCGTCCTTCTGATGGAGGGGCCACTCTGCGGGATTGAAATTCTTCCCACAGGGCTCCAAGCGGATCGCGCCACGGGTCTGGGCGCCCTTCATGCCCTCGAGAAGGCTCGCCTGGAGGTTCGAAAACGCGTCCTTGTTGAGAGGGGGGATCTACTCGAGGCTCTTGCACACTCTCAGGTACTGTTACAGCTTCACGAGGTGGTTGTGCCTGAAGTTGCCGGTGGGCCTGCGCAAGCTGCTCATTCAACCGAATGTTCTCTCCCTCCATGATCTGCAACTTATCCAGTAGCCCTCCAAGCTGTCTCTGCACCTCTGCTTGTATTGCCTCTGCTGGGATGCTGCTGCTGCTAGGCGGTGTGTGCTGGTTAGGGTTTACGGGATTACTATAAACCCTAAAAACTCCTTCTCTTCCACATGGTCCAGCACTTGGCCTTGGCAGTCCAGAAGTACCTCCAGCATGCTCGTCAACGTTCATGTTCAACAAGCGAGGCCTGGGAGGCGACGGTATGGGGCTCGGTAGCCACTGAACCGCTGGTGCCTTGAAGAACTCTCCAAGGCGGGTCACCCAACCTGGGAGGTGACCCTGAAAAACTGGTCTCGCTCCTCCACCGCCTGGTCCAAATGACCTTGTTGATCGTGGCGTGTGGTAGTCTCCAGCGAAACCCTCTCCACTACCATCATAGAAAGACGCTCCACCCCGCAACTCAGAGTCACGAACAGCTGATCCACCTCCGCTTGTGCCGGCTTGGCCTGCAATGGCGGCGCGAGTCTCTGATCCCTGTACGACAACTCCTGCAGCAGGGGTCTCCACACGTCCCCCATCTTGATCATCTCCACTTCCAGACAACGTCGGAGCTGGCAACAAAGACCGTGCCTGATCTGCACCTTCACCGCTCTTTCCTCCACCCTGTCCAGCATCTTGCCCGGGTTCGGATCCGACAACAGCTGCCAGACCCGAGCCTCGGGCTCCGGTTTCCGCCTCCACTCCTTCCACTCGAGGAGCTCCAGCATCCACCCCATTCTGCAGCGGAGCGCTTTCTCCAGCTTGGGAACTCATAACCTGAAGATCAGGTCTTACCGCAGATGATGACAAAGGTCCATCCATTGCAGCCTGACTCTAAAAACAATCCTTTTCGCACGCGACCAAAAGCTTCAGTCTGAGATCGTGATGTACAAATGGTGATCTCCGTGCTATGCCAGTACGGTACACTTCTCGGTTTTGTGTACAGTGCTATGCTACTGTCACTTTACATGGCCAAGGGGGCATGTGATTCCGTAGCCTTCCCCTGGATCCGAAGTAGCAACGCAGACAAGAGCTTCACTTTACATGCAAACACTTCGCTGTCACAGCCATCAGTCCTGACTTTCCGCAATAAGGATGATTATGAGGCTGCGTGGGAAGCAGACGGACGGCCGGGCCCGGCAGGAACACCGCTGGACGACTGGGATGCTTTCATCCACGAAATCGCGATCCCTGGACGCTACAGCGGAGAGATCGAGCTGAAGGCTCTCTGTCGACTCTTCTCAGTGCGCATCGTGATCGTGCCTGCCGACCCCAATTGGCGGGTCTGCTCTTATGGGAAGACCAAGCAAAAGGATGTTGGTGCCATTTACTTCGAAGACAGGCACTTTGATTTCATCAAGCCTGATGGCGAGGCCTACCCTCGTGAGATCTCGGCCACCGTCGCCGATCCCAATGGCGGCTTTCTAGTTGGAGGTGTGTCAGAGGCCTGCTCCTACTCCGTGTCTGATGCCTCTACTGTGCGCCGGGGGGCAGGCATGTCGCAGGCCCAGACGTCAGTGGCTACCGCCGGGTCGAAGCGCAGAGCCGGGATGTCTGCTGCGTGCTCTGCCTCCAGTGCGTCTACCTTTCAGGCTGCCATTTCAAAGGTTAGGTTCAAGGCTGCTGTAGGTGCCCAGGCTAGGTCTCAGGCTGCTGGTGCGCTTAAGGTTGCTCTTGGCAAGCGGGCTGCTGCACAGGCCTCTGTTGCATTGTGCGCCGCGAAGCGCAAATGCGGCAAACCCTGTGAACCGAGCACTGCTGAGGTTTTGTCTTTGGAGGCCGCGCGGGAGAGGTCGCTTAGCCTCGCCCCGCTCCCTGAGGATGAGGAAGACATTGCGCCTCTTGCTGACCTTGTTGCTTGGGATGGAGCTGACGACGACCCACCCAGGCGTACGCGCAAAAACATGGGCTGGAGCAATGCTACTGAGCGACAGCGCAAGTACTGGGACAGGACAGGATGTCACGACGGAGTGGCACGATGTCGCCTTTGTCCTTTCAAGTGCATGAAAGACTCTGCTACGAGTGCTTACAAGGCCCTTCGAAAGCATGTTCGGAGGGCCCACCCTGGCGAGCCGGTGATCCCTGATTTGATTACACCTCGCCCGTCTCCTGTGCGAGTATTGCAAGCAGGCGAACCTATGCACTGGACATGCAAATTTTGCAGCAAGGGTATTGCCCGGTGTGATGCTGATGTTTGCAGTAAGGTTGTGTTGCGGTGGAAGAATGAACACAAGAAGCTAGAGCATCCCAACATTGGATGGAAGACTTGGACTCGGGCTCGTAAGAACGATGCTGGCAGCAATAGGCGAATGCAGGAAACGAAGAGGACGGCGGCTCGCATCAAACTGCTGCCAGTCATTGCGCGGCTGGAAAAGCTGGACTTCGCAGTCTTTCCGTGGCCGCGCCTCAAAGTGCCCGCTTCCAAAACTGCTCCTGTTCGCATTCTCACAGGGTGGCGGTGCAACCTTTGCCATATCTCCTTTTGGAGATGTTAAGAAAGCTGAGAAGCATCGCAAGAAGGAGTGCCCCAGCAAGCCTGAGCTGCTCGCTGACAGACGGATCCAGGCAGTGCTCAAGCTGCGAGATCTGCTGCCTAAGATTCCGGCCGGCTCTTACCGTATGCGAGTCGAGGACGCCATTGGCCAGGCGTGCAAGGCGCTTAGGGTTTGCCAGGTGTGATCTCCTTTACCGCAGTAAATGTTGCTGCTAAAAAGGGATGTTCCACAGTCAGCTCTCTTTGCGAGTCGACTTCGAAATTCCCTTCGGACTTCTTCGCTTTGTCTGAAGTGGATGTTGCCTGCCCGGGCTATTTGGCCCAATGGAAAGCTCAGGGTTACAAAGCTTCGCTGAGTGCGCTTGAGAACGGTAAGGCTAGGGTGGCTCTTGTTCGTCGGGTTCCGTTTAAGCCTGCATGTTCGTGTCTGCACCGGTGCCGGCGCCTCAAGGCACGCTGCTGGTGTTGTCAATGTCACCAATTCTGAGGGCAGATCTGAACCTTTGCTTGTTGTGGCAACGTACTGCCAAGCTGGCAATCCTCAGATTGCTGATGCCCAGCTCAGCGACATTGTTGCGGGCATCCTGCGCGCACGATGTCGTTTTGTCGTCCTGGGTGACTTCAACATGGAGGCAGGTGAGGGCGCGATGGGCGAGCTTCTTGCTTGCGGCATGGCGGTGCCTGGTGATGCTTGTGCTCGCGGGCAGCTTCTTCCCTGCACGGGTCCGGGGCGTCGGCGGCGCATTGACTATGCCATACACGACTGGCGACTTGCGCCTACTGAGGTTACGCATTTTGAGTTTGCGGAGTCTGACCACCTCTGAGGTTTCCTGAGCGATTCCCCGTGCCTTTGACCACGCCTGCCAGAGCACCGTTCAAGAATGTGTCGCAGGAGCATCTTGAGGTCTTCTTCGCTTCAGCGGATTTTCATTGCTTTGAGTGTGCCCTTGATGACTGCCGCCTTGATGATGCTTGGACCTCACCCTTTCAGCTATCGCTGAGCAGGCTCTCTGTGGAGAGCTTCGTCAAGGCAGTGTACCAAGACATGAGGATTGGCTGCCCAGCCCTGTGCCGGACAAATCGCGGCCCGCGCGCCGCCTGGAGTCGTCTGACTCCTTGGCCCGGTTTCGCAAGCTGCTTGCAAAGCTTCGCACTTTGAAGTTCCGGCCTTGGGACTCGCAACTTCGCGCCAAAATCTTTCCTTGCATCAGTCGTCTGCGTGCGAGAGGCTTTCACGTGCCTTTTCTTCCCCCTGGGGAAGAGCTGCAACTGCTGGAGTACATGGATGTCACTGTCAAGCAACTCCAGGAACAGGAGGATAAGGCAAGGAGTCAGCTATGGAAAACGAGGATGGAATCTTCACGCAACATCCGTGGCTTCGTCAAGAAGCGAGCTGAAGCTCAGCTGGATTGGGAAAAGGAGCTGCCGTTGGCTGCCCCAGCTGATCTGGTGACTCATCCAGCCGAGCGCGTCAAGGTCGAAGCAAAAACTTGGAGTGTCATGTGGACTGCCAAGTCGCATGCTGACCCTGCTTAGCTTTGTGCCATCCTTGAGTGTGTGCCCAGGCCTGCTGATATCAAATGTGACCTAGTGCTGCATGCTACTGACTTGAAGCAAGCGGTGCAAGCCATGAAAGGACGTGCGGCTGGGCCTGACTCGTGGACTCCAGAAGCTTTGGCGTTGCTCCCGCTTCCGTTTTGGAGACGTGCTGCAGACCTGTGGAACAGATGCGTGCAGCTAGGGCAAGTGCCCACGCAGTGGTCTTGTGCCACCACGGTGCTGATTCCCAAACCTAAGGGTGGTAGTCGTCCGTTGACTTTGTGCCAAGTGTTGTGGCGTGCTGGCGCCAGTGTGTTACAGCGCCGTCTGAGGCCGTGGATTAGCGAGTGACAATCGGGCCATGATGCCGGGGGCCTTCCTGGAGCCTCTGTTGAGGCTGCACTTGCCCAAGTCCAGGCTGCCTTTCGCAATAAGTCTAAGCTTGACACCTGAAGAGATGCATCGTCGGCAGTTGGAACGGCGAATTTGTGCCATGTGTTTCAATGGTCCAGAGACCCGCCGCCACCAATATTGGTACCAACACCGCCGCTTGAAAATGGCTATCCTGGCCCGAACAATAACGCCAACACTGGAGCTGCTGAAGGCAGAGTGCCAGATGATTGGGAAGGTGCAGGAGTTCGTGATCGAATTCATTATCGTTTGGAGTGCGTTCCGGGGACCTGGTTGGATGAGCCAGCTCGTGGAGAAGGTGAGATTCACCCCTCAGACTCAGATGTGATTGAGGAAGGTGAGGAGTCAGACTCTGGGGCTTCTTCCACTGATGCTGTTTGTCAGATGGGAAACTGATTATTTTAACTCACCAGATAAAACTGCATAGAAGGCAGAGTGCCAATGCAGAATCTGGCTGGCAAGTGGCTGCCACCTCGGTGGACTCGCAATCGTCGAGTGATATGGATGGACTGCTGTGCGCAGTGCCAGAAAAATGAGAATCGAGTGAGGGTCTGCCAGTGCTGTATTTGATTGCTTGAGCATGAAGTCATGGTCTGCAACAACTATGCCACATGTGAATTTCAACGAGTGATGTCATCATGTCTGTCTCATCCTTGCAGTGTGATGGATCAATCAACTCACAAGTGTGTCAACTGCTGCATGTGTTGGTTCACAATTACGTTGTTAATTCGAACACCCTTGAGGTTAAGATGTTACACTTTGTTAGGGTTAAGACAGCGCGCTACGCAGAGTGCGAGTTCGAGTGCCATGTCCAGAGCAGCAGCCGAACCGACTGAAACAAGAAGAAGACTGTTAGCAGACATCCAGCGGCAGTTTGAGGCAAACATCGCACTGGAGAAGAGATTCTTGGCCACTTCGAGGGGACAAGATTTGCTGCGCCTTTGTGAAATTGACCCCTCGCTTCTGGAGTTCCATGCTGAAGGTCCTTATGAAGTTCTGGCTGAGTGCAACTATGATGTGATTCTTGAAGCCGGTGGGTTTTCCTGGGTGATCTCAATCTGGCAACAGATGTTGTCAGAAACTTTTCCCATCATGGCTTCATGGCCATGGAAGAAGCAGATGAGATTCCTCATCAACTTTTGTCACCGGAACATAAGGCAGAGTGCCAGGTTCCACTTCGTAGAGATCTTTGCAGGGCAGGGCAACCTGAGTCGGGAGATGCTCCGTGCTGGCTGGCAGGGGCTAGCCCTGGACATCAGGTACGGCTCAGATCATGATATTCTTTCTGTGAGAGGACTTCGCCTGGCCGTCAATGCTGTGTGTCAAACACACAAACACAGCCTGGTGTGGCTTGGAACTCCATGCTCTTCCTTCGTCCAACTTTGTAAATACAGTACTGGAAGGGACATTGCCAATGACTGGATGGGAGATCCTGAGCGATCGCTGTCATGCCAAGAAGGCAATCGTTTCATGTATGTGACGCTGCTGTTGACTCTGCTCGCGGCTTTGAATGACAACCGGTTTGTGATCGAGCCGCCTTGCTCCAGCGTGGTGTTCGACATTCCAATCGTCCATCGTGTCATGGGGCTGATCGAGGCTATCAAGGTCAAACCTATGGCGGTGCCTTCGGCCAGCCCATCCTGAAGCCGCTTCAACTGTGGAGCAACTGTCAGCACATCAATGGCATGTGGCGCAGCTATCCTGCCCATGTCAGAGGAAATGCTGGTTGCGTTGATCGAGATGGTGGCAAGTTCACCCATCGTCCGGAAGATCTTCAGGTGTCAGAGGAGTACACCCCGGAGTTCGGCAGAGCTGTTGCCTTTCATATGATGAGTGATATCCCAACATGAATTTTAGGTGAAGGCAGAGTGCCAATAAGGCAGGGCTTTGTCCAACTTGACGTTAAAGCCTTCTTCGATTCTATCCAATGGGATTCTTTAAGTGCTGTTCTTCAACACCTTCGGTTTCCTTTGGAGTTGCTCAAGTTGCTGCTGACTTTCTACAAGCAGTCCTGCCGGACCTTTGTGTGTGAGGGGGCCTACGACGGTCAACGGTTTGTGCCCAGCCAGGGCATTCCGCAAGGCTGCCCCTTCAGCCCGTGCCTCGCTGCTGCAATTGCTCACGTGTGGTGTAAGTACGTTCTCCATGGGGCCCATCAGCATGTTTCGGGACTCAACTACATGGACGACCGCTTGCTGTTCCTTCGAGCCCGTGCTCCTGTTCAGGCCCTGGACGCAGTGCTATGCCGGTCTGCCGAGTTCGATGAGTGTTTCAACTTCAAGCTTTCGCTTGAGAAGTGTGCGGTCTACCCAAGTGAGGCGACTGAGGAGTGGGCTGCCCTTGCTGGCAAACACTCCTTCAGCGTCAGTGATCATCTTGAGATACTGGGTGTTTCTTGCACCTTCGGAGGAGCTTGGTCTTTGCTCAAGTTTGTGCTTCGCCGAGCAGTGCTTCGCCTTCGATTGCTCCGCTGGTGCTCTCGTTCTGTTCGCGATCGCAAGCATATCGTGCAGAGCTTGGTTGTTCCCATGGTTTCCTGGACTTCGGCCTATGCGGCTCCGTCGGATGACGAGCTGAATGCCCTGGAAACCGAACTCCTGCACCTCTTCGATGATCGTTTCGGCGTCGATCGTGCGAAAGTCTTGGTGTGGGAGCAGCTGGGTTGGAAGCTCCATCCGCAGATGATGCTGTGTCGTAGTGCCTTTCGCACGTTGGCTCGCTTTTTGGCAGCGCCTCCCAACTGGGTGGAGACAGTTCCCCTAACTCAAGCCTTTCCTCCTTGGAATGAGCTCCTGCCGGAGATTCCTCGCTGGCTCCAGATCCTGAAGTGGACACACGAGCCTGAAGCTGGCGCAGTGGTGCGGCGCGACTGCTCCGGGCGACGCCGTTGTCTCTGCTTACCTAGGTAGCCCCGAAGTTATGTTGAGTTATGTTGAGTTATCTTGCAGGTCCGAATAAGTCGTAATAACTTTTTGCAGTCTCAAAAAACATTCTTTTGCTGAATCGCACCTTTTTTCGGCATTCGCCAGATTTAGCGAGTATAATGTCTGTATAATTAATGCAACAAAGTGACTTTGGTCCCTTCTTGAAGGGACCAAGACACGCGACAGGTATGCAAGATGAACTTGCAGGGTACTAACACGTGCTCTTCCGTCGTTGTCCACACACTGTTGCATTGAGAAAGCCACGAAATGGAATCATTTACCGTGTGCATCTTATGGCAAAGCCCGAAACAGTCATTTTTGAGCTGGACCCAGCATCTCACATTGACCGCCAGGGTGGGAGCCAAGATGTACACGATCTGTTTTGCTTCAATAGCACCGCTGCTGCACAACAGGCGCCTGGAGCAGAGGGCCTTGGCCACGCCAAGCTGCAGTGCCAGAGCTGCATCAGGTCTTGGGTTCTCCAAGGCTGGCTGCAAACTGAAGGACGTTTGCATTTGGGCATCCGTCCTTGCAAGTCGCAGCAAGGCAGCTTGTTCGAAACCTGTTAATTAGTTTCATCATTCTGGGTGCCACATCCTGCTTGAAGAGATTGTTTCGCCTCTCAGTGGGGAAGCAATCAGCCAGAACATGGCTTTCCTCAAGTTGGGAAGGTAAGTGCATCGCATAGTGGTGCTTCGGTCTCACTTTGTCCGTCCCGTAGCACTTCTCGTCAAGTTCAAGGTGCTTCTTTTGCAGCTGGAGCATGTCCCGGGCCGCCGCTTTGTCCCCGGACTGCTTCAGGAAACGCACATAATTACAAATTCGGCAGAGTAGCTGCAGTGATCGAACGTTGTCCCTCAGCAACTCGCAAGGAGCCAGCACTCTCTCGGCAAAGAAAACGACCAAAGGCAAGACCGACATTGTTTCGGAGGCCTTGCCGCGATATTCCCCACCGGATTGCAAGAGTTTGGAACCGAGCAGTCTCGCCACCCTCATATCTGGACCCTGCCAAGCATGTTTTGCCAAGGCATCCGCCAGGTCTGCTGTTTTCTGAAGAGCACCCGCTTCTAGCGCTGCATCCAGGAAGAGTCCCAGCTCCACGTTCACTATACCGTTCACATAGAAGCAATGTTGCCCGTCGTAGAGAACCCGCTGTGGAGGGATCAAGTCGGGTTGCCGGCAGGGGAGACTCTGCGGCACGTATCGCCAGCCAAGCAGGGTTTGGGCTCGCTCCAGCTGGGCTTGGTTGGGAAGCTGGCTCAGGTGTTGCAGGTATTCCTTTAATTTTTCGACATGCAAGGGGCGAAAGACCCCAAAATCTGGCTCTGTTATCGGATGCAAGGAGTCCATGCTGTAGCCGACGTTGCAAGCATTCCTGCACTTTATGCAGGGCCGCACCCCGGAAGAACCTTTAGCCGCCATGGTCCCTCTCAAAGCAGCTTCATCTGCGAGCAGCCAAAACTTCTGGGCTCGCACCAAAACGGGCGAGCCCGTGCTGTCCTGGATTGCGAAACCCTGGAGCTCCTCTTGCAGGCGGCCAACGAATTCGCACATGACGCCGGCCAAGCCTCCAGCTGCTGCATTTACTAGAGAATGCCTGACGCACCCCACCGTCGTCCATGAGGACTCTGCCTGCAACGTCGTGGCCAACTGCAGGAAGCTAATGTACATGAGGTACGCTTTTCTGCGGTTGTCTGGTTGGACAATGTTGCCTGGGACGGCTTCGTCGACATACACCAGGGCATCCAGGGTGCCGTCAGGTGCCGGTTTTTACAGCCGCAGACAAAATGTCTGCGAATGCTTTGTTCGCCTGGCACTTCTGAGTCAATGACGCAGCTAAGCTCATGACAGGGATCCTTATCGGGTCTCCCTTCGCTGCTGGCAGCAGAAGGTCCCGAAGGCATCCTTTTTCTCTGCCATACTTCAGGCCGGTGTCGTGCTTGATTGCAGGCATGCCCAGGCCAACTGTAATTTTCTCGATGTGGGCATCGGTAAGCCCACGTATACTCTGCAGCCGCTCAATGAACTCAGACCTGCTCGGAAGACAAAGCAGCTCGTCTCGCTTCTGTTTCCTCGAGGTTTCCATGGGCGGCAGGCAACAGGACGCTACATCCTCTTGAGCTGAGTTGGTTCTCCGGAGGCAGGTATGCAGCATTCAGACGCGGTCAAGTTATTATTATTATATATTAGATACATCGTGATGTGGAACGCTTGCAAAGAGCAGCAAAGCTTTTTTTTCCTCTGCTATTGCGATCGATCGTGGGTCAAACCACGTTTGCTCTGTACACAAGTACTAACTCAGTTGAGCTGGTCGCTGACACTTCGCTGTGTTAGCATGGCCATCTCTTCCTTCCGCAAAAGTTTCCCTGGTGTGTCCGAAGGCTGCTTGGAGTCTGCAGGGGAGCTGCTGTCACCTAGCCTGCGAGTCTTCCGCGACTTGGGGCTGCAGTGGCGGCTTCGCTTGCAGTTCCTCAACTGCACGACTCTGCCTTGGACCAGGGCTTGAGCGTCCAGGAAACGTCCATCAGGCTCTATGCCCTTGTGAACCCAACCGTGCAGGGCGACGTGCTCGCAGATTGTTGCATTCGCAGACAAAGCGAAAGCATGCTTCAGTGTCATCATTCTCATCTGGGCCTGGAGATCTTATATTCATGCAGCAAGTTTATAGGGCTTATAGGGTCTAGTAGGGTTTCGGGTGTAGATAGAAATCTCCATGGAACCCTACCTTGTTTTTCCCGAAGTAGAGGTCCACCGCACGACCTTCGTCCTGGAGCACCGCACGAGCTTGCTTCGACATGGCCTTCAGCCGCGGACAGTAGGGGGAGGGATGCGGTCTGCCCTAAAGGATTTCCCTGCATTGATTTGAACCAACGCAGCCACATATATAGGTTCCCTGTCAAGAAAGTATAGACATGATGCCGTACAGACACAGGGCAAGCACTACTGCCCTCCAGCTCACAGCTTCCAACTAATACGGCCGCATATAGCCCTGACGGGGATCTGTATCGGGCTGCTTATTAGAAGAAGGCCGAAGCTTGCACTACTTCCAGCTGTGAAGGGCTCACGCTTTTCACGGGCATGCAGTCCCACGGCAGTGGCGAAAGCAAATTCGATTTGAGCAGACTCTCTATACAGTGCATCTGCTGTGACATGCGACATGCCGCGAATGCACAGCAATTGCAAAAACTGGCAGCTACTGCTCGGAGTCCTCCGACTCAGACCTCTCGCACCTCCGCTTCGTGCCCCGCGACGATGCCGCGGCCGGCTCGCTGGCTTCTGCCGAAGTGTGGTCCCGGGCCAATGGATACTTGAACCACTTCCACCACCACACGACGGCACCGCCCAGGTCGATGCTTTTCTTCCAACACCAGCGCCATTCGAACGTCGCCCTGGGGGACCGCGAACGTTCTCTCAACGAACGCCTCGTGGTGTCGGGGCTCGCCTGCCAGTTCGAACAAGAATATATTCTGGACAAATATTATATTATGCGTTGTACAGACAAGCCTGACGCTGCCGCATACTGTACAAGGCACTGCAGGGGCGAGGCTACACAGGGTCTGGAGCAGAACTGGCTGCAGAAAGAGTGAAGCTGTGCACAACGACGCTTCTGACCATGGTCTTCGCAACTCCTTGCTTGTTTCGTCCTCAGTGGTCTGCATCGGTTCTCGTTGTCTTGAATTAGATTGCATCGAATTATAAGAAAAAACTACGTGCTGCTAAAAAACTATGGCCTTGCAAGATGCATGCCTGCATGCGATGATTCATGCTACCTGGGCGGAGGATCACGTGAAACCTCCTACTTCGGCGACGGCTCAGCTGCCCTTGTTGACCCTGCGTCTCTTTAGGGCAGGCGGGTTCTCTGCCTCCGTCGCTGCCGGCTTCGCTTCCTTCGCGGCCTTTTTCAACCTGTTCTTCTCCTTCTGGGCCTGCTTGCAGTCCCCCAGCACGTCCTGGACTTCCTTGCTCAAGGTCTTCAGGTCGCTCTTGGAAAAGGCAAGGGGGACAACCTCCTCGGTGTCCTTCTTCGCGAGGACCTGCTCGGCCGAAAGCTTCCACGTGCCCAGCTTGCACTTCAGGTCCTTCAGCTTGGCGAGCAGCTCCGGGTCGGTCTCCTTCCCTTCCCAGGTGCTGACGGAGCACCACAGTGAGGTTACCGAGGCCAAGGAGGACTGTGCCACGGCCACAGCTTGCTTCTTCGCCTTCACCGCCGCTTTCTTGGCGGCTGTCTCCGCTTTTGCTGTCGGACTCTCCTTGGAGGTGTGCGACGGTAGGTCCCAGTCTTTAGTGGTCGGGTCCCCCTTCTTCTTGCGAACGTCCTTCACCCTCTTGTTGATCTCCTCCTGAATCGACTCCCTGATCTCGCCGGTGCTGCGAGACTGAATCGGGATTCTGATAGTCTCGCCGAGGTGGGGATGCTCGCGGCGATCATCGCAACTGTCGATGTGCTCTTGGGTAAAGCCCTTCGCCAAGTACACCGTAGCCGGCAAGTACTCACCCTTCTCACACTCCTTCTGGAAGCGAACGGCACGGGACGTGAGGACGTCCGTGAGACGAGCTTCGAGCGTCGGCCAGTCTTTGTAGTCGGCTGAGCCCTTGTAGAACTCCGCCTTCTCTGCCGCGGTTGTATTCTTCCATGGCTCGAAGGACCCCAGCTGCCGCCACAACTTCATCTCCAGAGCGGCACAGGTCTTGCACTTCTTGCTTGTCCACCGCCCGGTCAGGTCCTGGGCCGCGAAGGTCTTCTGGCAGAGTACACAAGCTTGCGGCTCCGCTGCCGTGTCCTGCAACGGCTGGGTCTGGCTTTCGAGGCTTTCGACTTGAGCGTCCTCGAGGGTGGCAACCATGGCTGCGGTCTGGGCAAGCTAGGAGGAGAGGGGCAAACTAGAAGCTGAAAGTAGGTAGCTGCGGAGGCCAAGAAATCACGAGTCTGCAGCTCTACTTCTGCTTCCTAAATCCACAAAGAAACAGACAGCAGCGATTCCAGAAAAGCTCCTGCCAGCAGCTTAGCCGCAGAGTACCACCTACAATCACCTACGCCAGGCCCCCAGGTTGAAGGCCTAAGCCAGGGTCGCCACCTACACCACCTACGCCTGGCCCGACCTGAGAAGTAGGCCACCTACACCACCTACGCCTCCAGATCCATGGAAAGACCACCTACGCCACCTACGCCACCTGCCTAGCCAGGTGGCCCAGAGTGACCACCTACAAACACCTACGATCACCTACGCCTCCGGCCGGACGTTTTGCAAGGCCAAGATCAGCAGAAGGAGTCTCTCCGGAGAGCTAGCAGGAGCACTAACTCTTCTCCTCCATTTCGAGGCCTTCAAGCAGTCTATAGTCTCTGTTGTGCACGATTTCCAGCAGCATCATCGTGATCTGAAGCTGCTCCGTAGCAGCTTCGAAATAGCTCTCCCACTCTCGGTTCAAGTTGGAACCGAAATAAGCGGGGATAATTCTCAGAGCATGTCGCAACTCGCGAACCTGCCAGTCGACTCGGCTGTGGCTCCAGTCTGCCGTGATCGCCCTGACCCGCTCCGTTTCTGTGAGCCGCGGATACTCAGGCTCTGCCGGCACATAGCTGTATCCGTTGTACATTTGGCCATGATCCGCTCCGGTTTCCTTAAGAAGGTCCTCCCACTGGAATCTTAAGAGACACAGTGCTGCTATGACGCGAGCGGACTTGTCGCGATTCTCATCAGCACTCTTCATCGCCCAGTAGAGTGCTTCTCGCACCGCCTTCGCCTCAAAGTCCAGCCAATCCGCCGGAGGGGGAAGCGAACTCTGCAGCAGAGACTGCTGCAGTGCACAAAGCTCACCGCGAGAAAACCATTGCTTCGCCATCTCTGCCGAGCCCAACCTGTGCCACACGGTTGGGGATTCTGCGGCTTTCGCGATGTATATGTATATATATATATAGAGAGAGAGTATACATGTCTATATATATATATATATATATATATATATATATATATATACATATATGGCCTTGCCGATGCCGAGGCCCAAGGTCTGCAGCTGCTTCCCAAAATGGACTCTATAATAGAGGGCACTGTCTTGAAACATCACGGCTACACCAACCTGCTTGCACATCTTTGTATAGTTACAGAATCCCTGTCGAAAAAAAAGCTCCACCCTTTTCTTCTCTGAGTTCCAGCTCGCAGTGCTCCGCTTCGCCGTCTGGCCACTCTACGACTTAAGACTGGGCTTCGACAGATCCGGGCGAGCGTTTTAGAAGCACTCAGCTTTAGAAAAAACCTAAAGCACTCAACCATGGGCTTCCTATATGATCTTATCTTTATTTCTTCATGCCGGGTCCTGGGTTTGTACTGGGGCCGAGGGCTTCCGGGGTTTAGGGTTTAGGGTTTAGGGTTGAGTGTTTCCGGGGGTGCTTCCTGTTTGGCTTAGCAGATCTTCCTGTCGAGGCCCTGCGAAGTCAGCTACGACCTGGAGTCACCCTGCATCTGAATTTTTCCTTGGGTTTAGGGTTTAGTGTCTATATATATATATATATATATATATATATATATATGGGTTTCAGGTTTAGGGTTTATGTTAGGGCTCTTTGAGGCGATTGCAGATGCAGGGCTTCGCAGGGAGCTACAGGCCGGCTAGCCGGCTACTCTACAGCAGCCCTGAGCTACAACCCATCAAGACTAGGCGGGGAGCTCAAGGGGCTGCAGGGTGCTTGCTCCGGAGTGCTGCCTCACAGCACAGCTCGGAGTGTCGACTCCCAGAGGCTGGTCAGCACCGCCGCCTTGTCCAATCCGCCACCGCCCCGCGATCCCGATCCGCCTCCCGATCCGCCTGGGGGGGGATCCCGCAGGTCACGCTTGGCCAGAGGGCGGAGATCGATGATCGGTGGAGGCGGGGCTGAATTCTTCTTCTCTTTCGGTCCCGCCTCCTTCTCGATCTCGCGGCGGAGATCCTCAGAAGTCTCCGTGTCCGCTCCTCCATTACCCGCCAGCCACTCCTGGTGCTCCCATTCTCCGTGCTTGAGACAGCTGCTCCAGGGACGCCGCCCGTCGTGCCACTGACGGTAGGCGAGGCATGCGGCGGAGCGACGATGGTTCTTGAACCCATGCCTCGTTGGCGCTATGTACGTGCCACAAGGCCGGCATTGATATGTGCGGCGAGCCCGGTTCCGGGCAGGCCGCACCCTTGGTGCCTTTGCCGTCATTACTGACATGCTCCGCACCGTGGCTGGCTTGCTTGGGCTGCGGCTCCTCTCGTGCTCTTCCACCTCCAGGACCTCGCCTGTGCTTGCCCAGAGTCGGAGACGGCTCTCTGTCCCGGTCGTCGGCTCTCACAAACTGGTCCCGCAAGGCCTCAGCCTTCGCCTCGTTCCTTGCTCGGGCCTCACTTGAGGGAGGGAGAACGGGCTCCGGCACTCCTGCTGCTGCCTTTGCCATCCCCGCTGCTGCCGCCGCGGCCTCCGCTGCACGTCGTGCGGTCTCCTCCGCCTGGCGCTTCTCCGCCGCTTCTCGCATGGCGTCAACTCTTTCAGCTCTCTCCCTCTCCGTCGCTGCTGCCCCGTGCGAGGAGCTCGACTGCGAGTCGCTACTTGGGCTGCGACGTCTGCGACGGGGCTTGGGTCGACGGTCCGGGCTGCTTGAGCGGGAACGGTGGCGGCCTCGCTCCTCGTCCTTCTTTCCACTTCGTCGGCCCATGACCTGCCAGGACATATATCTATATAATATTTAAAATTCTTATATTTCTCTACATGAAAAACTATGTGTATATATATATATATATCTCTCTCTCTCTCTCTCTCTCTCTCTCTCTCTCTCTCTCTCTCTCTCTCCTTTTGCACGGTGACCGTAGCCACACGGTGCATGACTGCACACGGTGACCGGAGCCACACGTCTGCATCCCATCTCTGCAGAGGTGACCGGAGCCACACCTCTGCCATCTCTGCAGACGGTGACCGGAGCCACACATCTGCATCCCGTCTCCGAAGACGGTGACCGGAGCCACACGTCTCTCAGGCCAGACGGCGACCGAAGCCGCACATCTGCCGTCATTCGAGTGCAAACGGTGACCGAAGCCACACGTCTGCCTTCTATAGCAGATGGCGACCGAAGCCGCACATCTCCATATATATATATATATATATATATATATATATATTATATATATTATATATTATATATTATATATTAAATTATATTAAAATATATTATATTATATTATATTATATTATATTATATTATATTATATTATAATATAATATATTATAATATATTATATTATATTATATTATATTATATTATATTATATTATATTATATATTATATTATATTTCATTATACTCTCTCTCTCTCTCTCTCTGGTCTTTGTCGCTCCCGCCCGCCTTCAAGTGGGAGGCACCCTTGTCAACCTGCAGGCACACATGCAGCCACTCTTAAACCCCAAACCCGAAAGGAAACCCCAGTCTCGCCTTCACGGCAGGGGCCCTTCTGCAGCCCGGAAAGCCTGCCCCTCTTGAGCCTCGCGGCTATATATACAAAAACTTAAGAACATCTGCAAACATGCAGCAGGACAGGCTGGCTCATGCCGACGTGTTTGTGCAAACACTTGTTGCGGGCCACTGCAAAACTCCGGGTGTGAGCGCTACTATCCTACGCCTACCGAGGTTCGGGAAGATCGTTGCCATGCATGATCCCTCGGCTATATAAATATATATATATATGGAAGACCGAGTGCAGCCGGGAATATTGCATGCTTGCCGTGACCGCTGCCCCGCTCACGCCCGGAAACACGAGGGAGTGCATCCGGCAATCCAGCGGCAACGGCCGCAGCCGTTGGGCCGGGCAAGCAGCCGTTCCTCCATCGTGTATCCCGCAATGTCCTTCCGCTTCTGTCCCGCAGAGGCTGTCAGCTCCGCAGGGGCTGCCGCAGGCTTGCGAAGCACCGTCGGTGCTGCTGAGGGCTTCCGAAGCACCGCAGGGGCTGCTGAGGGTTTCCGAAGCACTGCAGGCTTACACTTAGGACGCGGCACTGCCTTTGCTTCTGGCTCTGACAGTGGAGCCGGCACTAGCATTAACTCTGCTGCTGCCGGTCTCTGCCTTACTGCTGCCGCAGGCTTCCGTTTCACGGTACTCTCCGCACTGGCTGGCGGCTCCTGCTTCCGTTTGCCTGCTAGTGCCCTGAGTTCTGCAGCGACACTCGGGCCTTCGCTGCACTCAGACTTCTTTTCTATCTGCACGTCCTCCAACGCAAGAAGCCGGGCTGGCGGCTGATCTTCCAGCGGGAGACAGCTGGGCGTAGCATCTCCACTTGCCTTGGCATCTCCACTTGCCTTTGCACCTCCACTTGCCTCCGCCGGCTTGATATCGTCCAGCTTCCTAGCCACAGCATCCATAACGGCACTAGCCGAAGAGGCGAAGCGATGCAAGCTCTGCTCTGGCTGCTCCACCACTATGTCGCTGCTCGATGGGTATCGCCGCTTTTTGTACTGCGTCGTGAGGGCATTCAGCTTCTCCAGATCTACTTTGGGCTTCGCCGCCGGCTTGTTGCTGAAGATCCGAGCACGGAGTGCTGCCGGGAGATCTTGCATCACCGCCGGAAGGCTCGGCAGCCAATCCACCGGGTCGCCTTTGCCCTGCAGGCCTCTCCTGAAGCGAGCCTTGAACTCAGGAAAGTCCTTCGTGAACATCGTTTGATCAGGCACTGCCTCCTGCCGTACCATGTAACCGAACATCCACACAGCTGCACAGGTGCCCTCGGTCGGACTCCGAAGGCCTAACTCTGCAAGCATCGGGGCTAGAAGGCCTAGGACTTCGCCCGCCGAAGGCTGCCTCTGCAAGGCTTGCCACTGATCTTCCGTCATGTACAGCGGGAAGTTCGTAAAGTCTTGCAAAGTCTTCCGTGCAGCAGTCGCGGCCGGAACGGTCTTTTCCTGGACCATATTTGAAATCATCTCCTTCATCCTCCCCGCGGTCTCCATACCCCAGCACGCATCGTCCAGCTCTGCTAGAATCTGGTTCGCGACCTCTGTCGACATCGACGAGCTCTTGCCGAGCATGGTTTCAAGCACACGACCCTGCTGTCCCTGCAGAAGTGCAAAATTCGGCAGCGCCATCGTCTGCCGTAGGAAGCCTTGAGCTGCCTTCAAGTGATTCAAGACTTGCGACATCTTGGATGTCGCACGTGAAAAACGCTTTGCTTGAGCCAAAACTATATGTAAGGCAGCACAAAGTTCATATATGTTATATAAATAACTCCAAATAACTTTAAACTGCTTTGAAACAACGAAAAATACACAACTCCTAATAACTCCAAATAACGTTTTTCGTCGTCAGCCGATTTCAAGATAACTCAACATAACTTCCTTAAAAAAAGGGTCGAAGTTATTTGGACTTGTGGAGTTACGTTGAGTTATGTTGAGTTATGTTGAGTTCTATGGACTTATAAGTCAACATAACTTCGGGGCTACCTAGGTAGGGCATGACAGTTTTCGCGAGGTTGATCGTTGGCTGAGTGCTCACTTTAGGGCCTTGTGCGTTGACAAGTGTGGCAGGTTGTGGCGCTCCTTCCACAGGAGCGACGACGAGCAGTGTGCTGAGGTGCCTTTCCTGCTGATCATCGACGCTGGCTCTGCCTTTGTGGTGAGTCCAGGCCTTCGAGGCCGCACCTCACGTGGCCTGCCCCACGCATGAGGTGCCAGTAAATCGCGCCGAAGAGCGCCTCTTTGCGAAGGAGGACTTCCCGCCGCCGACTCCTGCTCTTGATCTCAGCGACTTCCTCCAGGAGCTGTCGGAAGGTGCTTCTGAGTCGCTCAAAGCCGATGAGCTTCTGTACGCTGCCACGGATGGCAGTGCTCGCAACGACATTGCTGCGTCAGCCATTGTCTTCGGGCAGCATGTGACTGAGCACAGCAGCTTTGCAGCAGGGACGGGTGATGAGGACCAGTCTGCTTTCAAAGCTGAGATGCAAGCTTTGCTTTGGCTTGCTACTGTCTGCTGTGAAGTTTCTGGTAAGCTCTCCATGCAACGCGAACTTTTCGTTGTATCTGACTGCCTTGCGGCGATTTCTGCTTGTCAATCTGGCCACTCTTCTGATTTGCCAGGTCTGGCTCGTGCTGCCTTTGACCTTTTCGCGCAGTCGGCCCGCCAGGGCCTCGCGTGTACATTCTTGTGGGTCCCGTCTCATGGGAAACAGCTGAAGTGGGCGCCGCCTGAGCCTCACTCTGCTGCGACTCTTCGTGCTCTCAACGAGTCGGCGGATGTGGCTGCTATTCGCTGCATGGAACGCAGAATGCAGGGTTCGTTGCGGGCCCGGTGGCATGCAAGAGTTGAGGAGGTGACCGCCTGGGAGGTCAAAACTGTCAGAATCGCCGCGGCTGCGGCTGAAAGACTTTCGTGCCACCTTCGCAGCATTGCTTTGAAGCCAGGTGAGCGCAATCGAATCTCTTGTGAAGACTGTTGAGAAGGGTAACCCTCAGTTCTCCATGAAGCTGAACTTGTTGCGTTTACAGCAGGATGTGATTGTTACCACAAAATCTGGACTGGATAGGTTCATTCTGTGTGTGGAACAAGAAGCGCATCGGCTATCAGCAGATGAGGACGTGCGCACTGCAGCGGGACATGGGAACAAGCAGCAGCATGATGATGAGTATGTGATTGCGAAGGCTAGTGGAAAGGGAAGCGAGAAGTGTTGGTTTCATTCAACTCCAGAAGGGTGCTCACGTGGGCGAGATTGTCCATTTTCACATGACGGCCCGTCCGGGGCAGCAGGGCCTAAGGGCTCAAAGGGCAAAGGCAAAGGAAAGAAAGGCAAGGATCACGATCAGTCAACCGATGCGGCAGCAAAGGCTAAAGCAGAAGCCAAAGCGAAAGCAAAGGCTGCGGCCAAGGAAGCCAAGGCCAAAACCAAAGCCGAGCAGCAGACGCTGAGGCCAACGCAGCTCCAGCTTCGTCGGCAGCGAAATCTGCAGCTGTTTGCACTCCTGACATACCATGTCTTGCAGGGGCATCGTCGCAGGGATCAGAGACACATGCGCGAGCGTGCATGATGCGACTAGGATCTCAGGGCAGTTCTGATGGGTCATTTTCCTCTCCATGTGATGTCTTATGGATGATCAGGCTAGGACGAGATGAGATGGAGCAGTATGGTCAGACTGGATCGGCTCCTAGTGCAGCTTGTTGGGAGCGTTTGCATCCTGACAACGAGTCTCAAGCTTTGGAGTGGCAAGCATGGGAGTGTTTTCGGGACGGTATTACGCATCAGGAGCTCATCAGTGTGACCTCCACGGGACAGCGACTACATGTTGCAAACTATGTCAGAGCAGCATCCTGTGACTCAGATGCGGCACATCTGCTGATAGAGTCATCGACAGCATCATGGTGGTGTGTCGTACGCGTGCAACATTGTGAGCCTGACCCAATCCCGGTAGGTGTTGCCTTCCACTTTGCTGATGACCATGCTGTGGTTAGAGAGGTAACCACTGAGGAGGAGACATCGCCCGAAGAATCCAACCTCGAGGAGCTCGGGGATAACTCTGAGGAGGAGCCAGCGATTGGTACAGAGCCGGACCCTCTTCACGTCATGCTGGACATGATTGATGCCACACGGTATGCGAGGATCTTGAGTGCACTTGGAGTTGAAACCATAGAAGACTTGGATCTTATTCGAGAAGATGATTTAACAGATATCCCCGCAGTTCCTCGACGCAAGATCTTAGAAGCCTCCCAAGCCATCAATCGAGGTTACATTTTACTAGAGGAATTGCCGGATATGTGGGCATGGGCTCATCGCAGAAACCAAGATGTCGAGCACCCGCTCTCAGAAGGGGAGCCGGATGCTGAACCTTTTGGGGCCAAGTTGGAATGCAGAGATGAAGGGCATGCCCAGGCATCACGAGCTCAAGGCTCAGAGCCCTGGGTACTTGTGGATTCAGGAGCAAATGAAACCATTCGCCCGTGGCTTCCGACCATGAGCACTACAGGATGCAAGCAGACATCAGTCACCACAGCCAGTGGCGACCGGGTGGAGGCCTTAAGATCTCGTGACGGAGAGTTGTGCGTTAGATCTTCCGATGACAGCCAAGAATGGCTTCTCAGCGTACGGCGTCTAGTTCAAGCTGGGGGCATGTTCTGTTGGGATGAATCGGGTGCTTTGTTGCGGTATTGGGATGAGGATCGGAAGCAGTACATGAAGGTGGTGTGTCAGGTCATAAATGGGCTTCCTTACATCACTTGGACAGATTTCAAGCCTATTCGCATCCTTCTATCTCGTAGATACAAGGGGAAGGAATCCACAGCAGCAAGCGCCGAGGAAGCTCCAGCAGATACTACATTACAACAGTTGCGGATGTGTGACACATGCACCCCAGAAGAACTAGCAGAGCAGACCTGGGCAGAGGAGGACGTGACCATCAATAAGTCGCGATCAGAGCTTGATGACGTTGAGCGTTCTGAAGCCAGGGCAAAGGAGATGTTATCCAGTGAACAAATCACCCGTGAAAATGTTTGGAACCTGGTTCAGGATGCTGGTCTCAAGGGTCAGCGGACGCGGACATCACTGCAGACTGATGGAGAGACGAGGCCTCGGATGTGGGTGTTCGGATATTTCGCACACGGTGGAGTCGATGGACTCACTGCGTTAACGACGGAACGACCGTATCTCACTCGAGTACTCTGCGAGTTGGTGAGGCGGGAGCTCCCCCACCACACTTTCACGAGCCTGGTTCTGGCAATCGATGCCACGCTCAAACCTCATCGTGATAGTTTCAATCATCCTGAGACTGAAGTGGGTCTTGTCGGCCTTACGGAGTTCAAACACGGTGAACTGTGGATCGAGGATGTCGATGGCAATGTAAAGCGAAGAGTAACAGAGCAGAAGGTCCTGGTTGGTCGCTTGCTTTCGGTTTCAGGAGCCGCAGTCACGTTCAATGGCAAGGCATGGCATGGAGCAGAAGCCCACCAAGGCATCCGCAGCACGATTTCAGCATTTCCGCCCAGTCGGTTCAGCAAGGCGAATCGCAACATCATCGCAAATCTCAGCGAGTTGGGATTCAAGATCCCGACACATGTGCAGTCAGTAGCAGCCTCGGCAGTTACAGCCAGCACAAATCCGAAAGCATCCAGTCAAGATGACGATGATGGTGATGATCATGCGATGTGTGAGTTTGAGCCGGAGGGTCTTTGCGAGGTTTGTGGGGCTGTGTGTAGGTTTCAGGTTGAGCCCGCGCCAGAGCCTTCGCGTGATGAGCCATGGCCTGTCGCGTGCACAATCGTTACTGACGAGTCTGGTCCTGTATCGTCTTTTCAGGAAAGGGCACGATCTCAAGCACTCAATCGGCTGTCGCAGCAATGCAGTAAAGGCCTCTACGAGCGGAGATGCCCCAAGTGTTTGGAGGCCCATGGTCACAAGCGCAAATGTCGGCGGCTGGACCCGAGTGATGTTTCCAAGGGCACTTTGTCCATGGACTTGTCAGGTCCTCATCCAACTGCATTCTCAGGCCATCGCTACTTTCTTGTTGCGAACTTGTGCACAGGCGGGGAATTCCCAGACATACCGTTCGTGCGTTTGTTGCAAACAAAGAAAACCGGGGAAGTAGCTCAAGCTTTGAGTTCAATCATGTGCCAGATCGTGTCGCTCAGTCAGGGTGTCCCGGAAGTGTTCCGGATACATTCGGATGCCGGCAAAGAGTTTGTCGGCAAGGCGTTTATTACAGAAGTCCAGCGATTGAGTCTTTGGCCAACCACAAGTGTTCCATATTCTCCCCAACAAAACGGAAAGGCAGAGAGGCTGGTAGGACTGATCAAGTCTGCAGCGGCTTCGCTGCTGCTGCACGGTAGGCTGCCCTTGAAACTCTGGAGCGAGGCAGTTCTCGAGGCATGCTTCCTACGACGCCAGAAATCTTTGCAGCTGCCATTGCCAGCTGATCGCCCGAAGATGGGCGACACTGTGCTTGTCAGGCGACCTGCAACGGTAGCAGGCTTTCGAGCCTAAGGCCGAGGAGGCCATTTTCCTTGCGAATGAGGAGCGGGCTCCAGGTGGGGCCCGGGTCATGGTAAAGCGCGGGGATAAGACTTCGGTTCGAATTGTTCGTCTTCCAGTGCTAAGTGATCAAGTTATGAAGCGCTGGAGGGTGGTCAAGGGACCTGCTGAGGGACAGATGGTATGGGTTTCCACTGAGGGGGATCTGAAGTGGGACGCCCCGCCAATCGACATGCTGACGGTCGAGGAGGCCGCAGGCGACTTCATCAAGCCCGAAGCTGACGATGTTGTTGCCATGATGAAGAATAAGCTTGCGAACCCAGAGGGAGCTGAAGGAGCAGAGAAACTGTTTACCCTTTTTGGACATGGCTTCCTAGTTCACTCTTCGTATGACGCAGTACCGAGTGCAGTCGCTGCGCATGTGGAGGAATTGGATGTCAACCAGAGTCGCAACAAGGAGGCTAAGGACAAGTACTACATCTTGGCATATCGTCTCGAGGAGGAGATGAATGAGCATGAGCGGACCTTAGCAACGCAGGCTCAGAGCACCGTGGAGATCGGCGAAACCGTGCCGCAGAGCATCCTGACTGGAAAAGCCATATCGGAAGCAGAGCTGGAAAAATGGCTAACCGAGGGCGTGGGCACGGAACTTGAAAATCTTGCTAGCAAGGATGTCTACGATGAGGTAGAGAAGAGCAAGGTTCCCGCAGGTGTGAAGCCGATACCCGCAAAGCTAGTGTTGAAGCGCAAGCCGGTGAACAACATTGCCGATGAAGTTGAGGGCATCGCCTCAGCTGAGCACGCATCGTTGAGAAGTTGGCAGGCCAAGGCAAGGTTAGTGGCATGTGGAAATTGGGAGAAAGGGACAACACCACAGGCTCCAGAGAACCAGTCCTTGAACCCAGGAGCGGAAGCAATACGGATCGCAGCAAGCTTGTTGGCACGACACCAGGACTGGACAGGACTTGTGTTGGACATCAGCGCCGCGTTCCTCAACGCAAAGATCCAGGGCGAGGACGTGTACGTGTCCCCACCGCCAGCACTGGTAAAGCGCAACATCATTAGCGGATCAGTGCTCTGGAAGCTAAAGCGAGCCCTCTACGGTTTACGCCGTAGCCCGAAGCTGTGGGAGCATGACAGAGATGCAGAGGTTGAGGCAAAGAGGGTAGTTGGTCCCGATGGTCAGTGTCTGAAGTTGGTTCGCCTAGAGCCTGGAGTGTGGAAGGTGATCGACGAGTCGGATGTTGATCAAAACCCACTGGCCTTGGTTGTTTGTAGACGATGGGCTTTTGGTGGGACCCCCAACCCTAGTTGCTGCACTGGCAAAGGCGTTCATGGAGTCTTGGACATTGAAGATTCAAGGCATGCTGTGCTTCAAGGATTTTGCGGAGCATGATGTGTTCACCTTCAGTGGTCTTGAGATCCCAGTACGAAGTGAGCTGACCTTCCTTGGGTGCGAGCTTAAGCGAGACGTAGCCGGTGTGTTCATTCATCAGACACATTGGTTGGAAGCTGAGCTTGTGAAGAGAGGGCTTTTGCACTTGAAGGGCAGCGCATCCTTGCCGGAGTTGCCAGAGGGCACTATATCCTGCCGGATCCACGTGAAGCTAGCTTTGCAGAAGATTTGAAAACCGCGCAATCACGCATTGGAAGCTTGATGTGGCTAGCAACTAAGAGCAGACCGGACGTCGCAGCAGTGACGGGCGGAATAGCGTGCATCGCAACACTCAGTCCAACGAAGGCAGTCAAGTTGGCTGTAGGGGTATGGCGCTATCTGCTGTACACAAAGACATGTGGTCTGTGGTACCATGATCCGGTGCATTTCTATGGTGATGCATCGCTAGGCGTAGGCGCAAGTCGCAGCCGCACCGGTGCACTTGTCACATGGGGACAGCATGTCATCACATGGCGCTCGTGTCGACAATCCATCACGGCATGGAGCGCATTTGAAGCAGAAGTGGATGCTGGGGCAGCAGCGCTGGAAATGGGCATCAAGGTACGAGAAACACTTGAACGGCTCACGACGCGCAGGCCGGCTGCGACTCTGTATGGAGACAATGCCGCGTGCCTCACCAACCTCTTGAAAGGACACCAGGATCACCAAGCTACGAGAACTAGGCATTTTGGCTTGCGCTGCAGCTGGGTTCGTGACCAGGCGGTCTCAGAGGGAATCGCTATCAAGTACATGAGCGGTACGGCGATTCCAGCGGATTCATTGACAAAGATTCTGGGACGCAAGGCTCTGGAGCAAGCGAGGCCAAAGTTGTCTGTCGTTGACTCGCATGCATTGGGAGCGAAGTGCGAGACTCTGGACTAGACGAAGCTCTCGTTACAGAAGTCTGCCTGAACGACAGGTGGGTCATTGTGTCTCTCATGAGTTGCAGTGCTCACCGAACGAGTTTTCTTCTTCGCTCCTAGTGCTTTTGTGGTAGGTGCTGGAACTTTTGAGGGCAGCATTTCACCGTACACCATGACGGAGTGAAGGTAGGCAAGTTGCGTCTGGAACGCCCACTGGTTAGTACTCCGCTTGCTTATGCAATCGTCACTACACACTTTTGAACACTTTTCCCTGCACAGCGAAATGTGAGGAGGAGTGTGTTTGGTAGTGACTTGTCATGCATGCATATGTAAGCATTGCTTCGCGGAGTCTGAACGGACTCATTCGCACTATCCAATGCCACCATCGACGTGGCTCAAGCAATGGTGCACAAATCGAGAAGTGTACCGAGTTCTGGCAAGGGCCTCAGCTTGAAAGCTGGGTTTGGGGTTGTGGTGGTGGTGTTCAGGGCACCCGGTACCCTAGTCCCGAACCTTTCAGGGTCCTTCGGAGCTTGATTTGCAGATGGTGATCGGAAGTAGCGGTGATGCCTAGTGATTATGATGATGTACCCTATCAGATAAGACAGGCGTTGCAGCAACAGCAGCAACAACAGCAGCAGTCACCGGCATTTAGCATCGTTACCGATAGCAGTCCGCAAACACACTAATAACCACTTACTACTTACAACTTACTACTTACTACTTACTAATTACTAATTACTACTACTACTACTACTACTACTACTACTACTACTACTACTACTACTACTACTACTACTACTACTACTACTACTACTACTACTACTACTACTACTACTACTACTACTACTACTACTACTACTACTACTACTACTACTACTACTACTACTACTACTACTACTACTACTACTACTACTACTACTACTACTACTACTACTACTACTACTACTACTACTACTACTACTACTACTACTACTACTACTACTACTACTACTACTACTACTACTACTACTACTACTACACCACTACTACTACTACTACTACTACTACTACTACTACTACTCCTACTCCTACTACTACTACTACTACTACTACTACTACTACTACTACTACTACTACTACCACGACAACAACTACTACCACCACCACCACCACCACCACTACTACTACTACTACTGCTTCTACTGCTTCTGCGACTACTACTACTACTACTACTACTACTACTACTGCTTCTACTGCTTCTACTGCTTCTACTACTACTACTACTACTTCTACTACTACTACTACTACTGCTACTACTGCTACTACTGCTACTACTGCTACTGCTACTATACTGCTACTACTACTACTACTACTACTACTACTACTACTACTACTACTCTTACTTACTTACTTACTTACTTCTCACTACGACTACTACTACTACTACTACTACTACTACTGCGACACACGCTCGTAGGACGAATGATGTTTTTCATGGGTTGCAAACAGAACGCAATCTTCAGGTTTGAACACCCTTACGGCGTTTTCGCTGCCACACAAGGTTGAAGGTGCGAAATATGGTGCGTTTAGGCTCATGACGTGCCGAAAGTACTGACAGGCTGGCCGGCAAAAACGCGCATGAGGCAGCCGCGGGTGTCGGAAATTACGAAGTAGTAGGCTTTGTATGTTTGTTTTGCTGCGGGCGTTTTACGGAAAAGGAATACTTCGTGCGCAGTATGCTGCACAAAGAAGCAAAACTCTATAAAGTACTTGTGTTTTGGGCATGCACGCCAAAAGCATAGATGTTTGTGGCAATTTGTTTTGTTCCACATCCTTGCGCAGTATGTTGTACATGGATTTTTGTGACAACGTGTCTTGCTCCACATCCTTGCACATGTTGTACAAAGAGCAACAATGCTATAAAAACCAGTGTTTTGGGCATGATCGCCAAAGGCAGTGACATGAACGTTCTTATCCTCCCCCCCACCGCCCCCACCCAAAATCCCGCTACTACCGTGCAAAATGGCTCCAAGAAAAACGCACGTAGAAGCAAAAGTGCCCTAAATACCGGTGTTTTGTGCATGCTCGCCAAAGGCAATAAACTTGAACGTTATCGTCCTCCCATGTCCTCCCCCATCCCTACCGTGCAAAATGGCTCCGAAAAAAACGCGCGCAGAAGCAACAGTGCCGCATATACCGGTGTTGTGTGCATGCTCGCCAAAGGCAACAACATGAACGTTCTCACCCCCCCAACCTCCAACCCCCCAAAACCCGCCCAGTACCGTGCAAAATGCCTCCGAAACGCATGAAACCACCAGGCATCCTACGAGCGTGTGTGGTACTACTATTTCTGCTACTACTACTACTACTACTACTACTACTACTACTACTACTACTACTACTTCTACTTGGTACTACTAGTGCCAGCACTACCGCCGCTGCTACTACAACAACAACAACATCGCGCAGGTAGTCCCGCGCCTTGGCGGGCATCGGAACGTGAAACGAGACAAGGCAAGCTAATCGGTTGCTGGATGAGTTTGCAGCGTGGCTAAGCCAACGCGTGGTATGCCGAGGGATCAGCACATGCGCGTGCAGCTGCTCCGAGGAGTCAGCACTGCACGCAGATTTTCAGAGGACTCCAATGAGGTGATGTGGGGCAGAACACCGCAGTAATTGCAGCTCTCTGGTGTAAGTCTGGACAGACAACGCCCGGGAGCTGTCCACAAAGTTGCCCGATAGATCCAATGCTGGAAATCTGGTAAACTTACTTTACTGGCGCCGAAAGATTTACTGTATAATGTATCGTAAATTGGTCTTGTGAATTTACTGAGCGTGTGCAATAACTTTTTGCGCAGTAAATTACTGCACCAGCACAGCAAAGTGTATACATGTTGGATTTTGGCCAAACCCCAAAGTGTATACACTTTGGTTGTTGTCCTTCCACAGCCCAGCCCTGTGAAAAAGATCTGAATTTGGAAAAACAAAGCGACGTTTTCTCTTGAGGATAACGTCATCTGTACATTTTCCTTTCGATACATTCTCACACGAGGAGCCATCCAGGCCTGCTTTTTTCCACAGCACCAACACATCGAACACGAGGCTTTCTGTTGCAGCCGTCTCGTGCCCTACGTCGGCGTTTCCTGTCGTGGGCCGCCTCTTCCAGCCGCTGGATGCCTGCCGCTGACACCGTCTTTAAGAAATCCTGGATCTCTTCTTCACGAATCCGATGAAGCCGACATAAACTTGCATTGAAGCACCTTCAGCAAAGAAATCGCCATCCTCTCGAGCTGTTCCGCCTCATCCGGATTTGAATTCCTTGTTGCAGACGGTCTGGTGGACACACGTGTCGTCAGCGACCAACTGCCTTGGGCAATCCGGCGTGCTGCTTCGAGTTCACTTTGTGTCCTGAGATGAATGTCTTCCTGAAGCCTCAGCTGTTGCCAAAGTTATTGAATCTCTTCGTGCACGGTAGCCAGGGATTGCCTCGTCATTTCCGAACGATGTTGGAGCTGCTGTTTTGCTGTTCTGCTTCCCCCACCCTACGGACGGCTTCCACGCTCATCCTATTGTCGTATTCCAGTTGCTCGATCAGTCTTTGGCGGGTGTTCTCAGCTGCCACCTTCTCTGACATGAGTGCTTCATTGACCACCTCCTGAGTGCATCATTGACCACCTCCTGAAAATGGTTCGCACGTTGGGGATTTCTGCCCATCCTCAAATTCTCCCGGGCTTGGTCATACAACTCGTTAGTCATCTTCTGATGCTCCTTGGCCACGTTGACACCACCCCTTTTGCGTCTGCTTCGACATTGACTAGTGCCTTTGCCGCTTCACTCCGAAGAAGATGAAGTTGGTGACCCCAAATCACGAACTTGTTGGGCCTGATTAATTTCCTCGCTCCTGTCAATGGCCATCTCGAATTCTATCTTCGCGGCTTGATGGACGTTCTCGGTGAGCCATACACGCTTGGGCATTGTTTTTTTGCCTTTCCAATTCTTCGACACGAAGAGTTGATCTTCCTGCTGAATCTCAGCCATCTTCGGCACCAGGAGCAATCTGTGCTGGATGAGCTTCGTTAGCCTCTGCTTGCGCAATAGCCAACTGTCTCTTCACTGCATCACGGACTTGATCCTCAGTGAATCCCGAGTCTTCAATAGCCATAACACCTTCGGAAGATCGATTTAGAGGATGGAAGGCATCCCTGCAGCATGCATGGGGGCTGTCCCCGAGTTTGCGACAGACCCCGATCCACTCGCTTCTCCGACGTCTTTGCCACTGACTCTCTGAATTGTCGAACTTTGGGAAATCACATCCGGTGAACTCCCTGGTTCTCTGTCTCTTGATTTTCTCGGTGAAATTGATTGCCCTTTCACCACTTGCTTGATAAATCTCGATGGTTGCCGTTATGTGTTCTTCGAAGTTGGTAACGAGTTCGATGAAGTTGGTCTGGAAGTAGCGGTGGAGCTTGCCGTAGAATGTGACTTTCTCGCTGGCATTTTAGGAGCGCGCTTTTGATTTTGCTTCTTGCCGTCCTCAGTGGTCGTGTCATCAAGTGACAACGGTCCTCCATCCTTGGGCGCAGTTGAATCACATGCTGCCGGAAGAGCCAGTGCGTCACCACCAGAAGTCATGGCCGTGTCAGCACCTTCCTGACGTCATCTCTCAAGACTGTTTGTGAAGTAATACAGGACTTTCTGGGCGACGCCTATGGCTGATAACCTGAAACCTTGGTTTGGTATGTTGCTCCTCACCTTGAGCTTGATGATCGGGGTAGTACTAGTCATTAGCCCAAGATCCAGTACGATACTCCAATGCTGTGTATCCACTTCCCGGTCTTCCCTTGCAAGCACGTTGCGGAGCAGTCAATTCTTTTCTTTGCATTGAACCTTGCATCTCTGCTGCGGTCTGTGCAACAAACCGGGAGAACTTGACGTTTCAGGGCTGCGCCGAATGCAGGCTAAAGACAGCTACTGCACTGACTCAAACAGTTGGCCTCAGCTCGTGCTCTTGAGCCACAGGCGTTGCGGTTATGCGGA